GACCAATCCGGCGCGGTAGACGTATTCCAAGCTAGCGAACCGGACTTAGATTCTGGATCGCCGGTGCTAGGTCGCAGATCGTACATCGATGACATCTTGGTGACAGCTGAACCCTGGGAGTCTCTCTGCGACAAAGTAGATCGACTCTGGAATGCGTGCGACCGATGGAACCTGTTGATCAGCGTGGTGAAGAGCTCATGGGGGTAGATTACCTAGGACATTGCGTGTTAGCAGACGGCCTCAAAGCTCACCTGAAGAACTTGGAAACGCTGACAACCCTCCATTCCCAGGAACGTTGCGGGTAATGCAGTCCTTCCTCGGAGGCCTCAACTACTACAGCCGATTCATTGAGGATCTCGCAATCTATGCCTCGATCTTGTACGAGCTGCGAGAGGTCGACTTCTATGAGATGAGCCGGAACCCTGGTCAAAAGACTGGGGACGAAGTACATTCTGACGATGAAATACTGACGGCGCCGACAGACGAAAAGGACAAGTGGGACCGAGCGCAGGCGGTGTTTGAGATATTGAAGAACAAGATCGCGACGGCTGTCATTTTGATCCGGACTGGGTACCGGTGGTAGTGGTGTATGCGAGTGATTGGGTGATCTCCGCAGCTTTAGTGCAGGAACACGATGGCACGTATATGCCGGTGACATTCACCAGTCGCACGCTGAAGTCCAACGAGCTCAACTATGCCCGACCTAACGGTGAATGAGGAGGAGTACCAGGGCCTGTTGTTAGGCTTTGATCTACTCTCCAGCATGGACCGGGGACGCCTGATCACCCCAACTTAGTAATACGGCAGATGCGAAAAGAGATAGAGTGCATGGCACCAGGCCTGACCCCTCTTCGTCGACGGGCATTGGATCGGCTGAGAACGTGGCCGGCCCAAGAGTCCTACACGTCAAGCGAGATTGGAACCAAAGCGCGGGCAGGTTAGCCAACACTGCATTACACCAGCAAGAAGGCACAGCAGTAACCTTGGAAGTGGACTACGACAATTTGGTTGTCCTTAACCGGCTCCAGGAGCTCCTACTCCCGAAGGACAAAGGGTCCGTCGTCCGGATGGCCGCGACGACCCGACCGCGGACACGCTTGAAGAACTCGGCAGAGGTGCTGCGACTGGATGTGGTGCAACACATTAGGACGGATCGGATTCTGCGAGCTCAAAACGAAGAGAAATGGATCGTAAACCTCAAGGCGTACCTGTCAGGCGACTTGGAG